CGTCATTGTTGTTTGGCGGGCCCGGGCTGGGGATTCGAACCCGCCACCTTAGGTGTACATGGCTGGCGCCCTAGCCGGTTGAGCCACAGGCGCCGAGCCGCCACCCTCTTTTTTAATTTTTCCACATTACAGGAGAAATTAGAAAATTGACTAGAAATAAAAATCACATATGCTTCTCACTTTGATCTACAGTACTTGTTAACATTTTATTAGACGCCTTTCAGTCTGTCTATACAAATTCTAACCCAGTTGTACTCAAACTACACTTTAGTATTTTAAATTTTCCGTTTGCATGATGTCATAAATATCTTTCCATATTGCTGCATAGTCTTTTGGATATTTTTAAAAGTTTGCATAGTATAGTTGGATATTTTTTCAATTATAAAACATACAGGTTCCTTATTCTATTACATTTGTTTGTAGCTAAAAATCAGTGGGTGGTAGGCCCTAAGTTGCTTTTGGGAAAACCGGATAAGATATGTCTGTCTTAGAGCATTTCTAGGGAACCCTGAGTGGTGGGAGGGACCTTCTACTCTGTGCTATGTCTGGGGCCTGTCATTATCTTCATCTGGTCTTGTTTAGTGGGTCTCTTACTAAATCACTAAGAAATAGTGATTTTCTGCTTGCTATTGAGATACGTGTATATACTCAACCTCTCAGTCTCTTCTCTCTCCGTATACATGTATTATGCACTGCACACACACACACATATATACCTTTCTTTTTTTAAGCCAAGGACATGAACTCCGCACATTGAGGGTGTTGGGAGTCTTGTCTGAGGTGTGGTTAGCTGGGCTGTTGCTCCCAACGTAAAATAAAACTTGGTGTGTCATAAATTTATCCCTTTCTTCTTCTTTTCAGATAACTCAGCATCTTCTACTGAGCATTCACAGGGCTTTGAGAAACAAGGTGCACAGGCAGCTGGAGCTGCAGAAGCCAGCCCTTCAGCTTCTGTCCCTCCTCTGTTGGCCAAGAAGCCCTGCCCAGGTAAACCTTAAAGAGGGTCAGTGAACTAAGAAGACACTTGTCAGCTCTGAAGATCTGAAAACAAGGCTTCTGTTGAATTTTCCTTTGTAAGCATTCATTCATTTAATCATTTCTTAATAGTGGTCATAATAATGTCTACCTCACAGTGTGTTGTGAGAAGTAAAGAAGATGGAAAAGGAGAAGATAGCAGACTTGGAGGATAACATGGAGGATGGGCGTTTGGGGCTGAGGTTGGGAGTTGAGCTGGCAGAGGGGAAAGCTGAGTGTAGATGGGGCTAGTCCTGCAGATGGCAGCTTCTGCCTGCAGTTCTGAGTGCTTGTCCTAGATGGGGTGGGTGGAGCTTTTCAAGGGATGAGTTTCTGCTGGCTTCTGTGGTCCAGCCAGTTTTTCTATATGCCCAAATAGCACAGTTTACAGTGTGATAGTAATCATCGCATATGTATACTTTGTATACAGTTTTTTTACTTAATGCTTCATAAGCTTCTTTCCATATTTGTTCATGTTATCATATGTAATCATTTTTTGAACACATACATTAATACTTATTCTGGGATATTTTGAACACATACTTAACTACTTATTCTGGGATATTTCAATTATTTCTAACATTTTGAGTATAACTCCTTTCTTAAAACCTGTACAGTATTGAATTTTAAGGCTGTTCTTTATATTTGCTTAGCATATAGGTGCTAAATGATACTGTCTTTTGCATTTTTAAAAACAGATACGTGAGTATTTTTCTGCATCTACTTTCTCTATGTCTTTATTTTGCCATTTTATACATGGCCTTTTATTAGGGGGCCTTTCCCTGTGCTGATGGGGGTGGCTTTTAATGAGTCTCCTTCATTTTCATGAAAGGATGTCAACCATACCGTGCTCAGAGGATATCCAATTTTTGTAGGTCTATCTCCGCCAACACTACAGAGTTTACAACCTTTGGGTTCTTACCAGAGATTTCTACCTCATTCTGTCTATTTTTCTTTCTTTCTTTTTGAGACAGAGTCTCATTATGTTGCCCTTGGTAGCGTGCCTGGGCATCACAGCTCACAGCAACTTCAGACTCTTGGGCTTAAGCGATTCTCTTGCCCCAGTCTCCCAAGTAGCTGGGGCTACAAGTGCCCTCCACAACACCTGGCTATTTTTTGTTGTTGTTTAGCTGGCCCTGGCTGGGTTTGAACCCGCCAGCCTCAGTGCCTGTGGTCAGCGCCCTAACCACTGTGCTACGGGCGCCTAGCCATTCTGTCTACTTTTCATCTTTTACTGAACTCTCACCAAAACCCAACTGCTATCGTTTGAAGGATGTGAGATTTGTCCATTCCTCTACATTGTACCTGTTCTTTCTGTGGATCAGGACGGACCGTCAGAAGTCCTCATTTATATACCTCATTTCCCCTTTTCCTCTTTCTCCCTTTGCTCCACCACCCCCTCCACCCACTGTGCTATCCTTACTAAGCTGCAATTTTGATTTTTGTTGTTTTCATCAAAGCGTACCACAAAGAAGCAGCCTTATGAAATCCTTTAGGTGTTTATCATAGCAGTAGTCACAAATGTTGTTGTGTAAAGTTTTTGTTTTAATTTCAAATTAATATGAGGGTACAAATTTTTAGGTTATATTGTTTTTTCACTTCTGTAGTAAAGTTCAAGTTGTAGCTGCGCCCTTCACCCAGGGGGGTGCTGAGCACCCTCACATTGTGCACATTAGTGTAAAGTGGTTTTTTGAAAAAACTTAACTGTCAAAAAAAAATTTAATGGTCCTGAAATGACATAATATTTGAGAAATAAGACTAATGTAATAATAAGTTTTCATAAAGCTAAATTTTGAAATACTATCTTTTTGATTGGGTAAGAATGCAAAGATGTCCTTTTTAAGTAAGAAATGTCCCTTTATATGTTTTCTCTTAATGGACAGTTATTTAATTTGTGTTAATCTTTTTACTTTGGTTTTCAACAACAGTATTTCTGAAAGCCCTTATGTTCCACATATTTTGTTTCTTTTTTTTCTAGTTCTGATTTCTCCTGGTGCTAATATATATATATATATTTGCAGTTTTTGGCTGGTCCTGGGTTTGACCCACCACCTTGGGTATATGGGGCTAGTGCCCTGGCTCCTTTGAGCCACAGGCACCGCCCCTGGTGCTAATTTTTTAAAAAATATTTTTACATTAATAATTATCATTTATACTTATCACTTTACTCTGTGTATTTGTGTAGTAAGTCACTTTTTTTTTTTTTTTTTTTTT